CAGTGAGGCAGAAAATCAGGTAGGCCTCTGCTTACTGACTATGGCCAGATCTTTGAAATGTCCCTAATTTTCTGAAGGAAAAAGGAATTAAAATAAAAGTTTACATAATCTCTTGATGTGAAGTGCATTTAAATGTTTATTGGCTTGATGCAGTAAAATAGACACAGAGCTGTTAATAATGGTTATGTAGATTTAATGTGACTTAACTGCAGTTCATAACTGTCATTGTGAAAAAAAACATCCTTTTTTTTAAAAAAGAAGTCATAATTTATTTTAATACTAAACAGGGCTCACTGTTCCCATTACCATTTCAGAATAATATCCATGCTCTGAAATCCAGAAAGTGTTCTTGTGTATGATGCCATATTTCTTTTACAGGTGAACACAGTCTTCACAGTAAATAAGAATAAAACTATTGATATCCCAACTTTATATTCCGACAATAAAATAGTTATCATTGATTTCTGTGCATTGTACTTGTTATTAGTAACCAAATTGAAAGATACTTATTCTGTTTTTTTTTTTAAGCTCTGTGGGGAAAAAATAATCAGTTTCCCAGGTGAAACCACTAGCATACATTTTTATCTGCCTGCAAGTGTCAGTGTTACAGTTTGTGTGCTCTTTCCACAGTGCTTTGCTCTTTAAAAGGAAATGACAGGTGTGAAAATTCTCATGTTCTCAAAGCCAATACTATAGCTCAGCCTAGATAAGTGAACTGACTTTGGGTTGTTACTTAAAACTACTCATAAGCTATGAAGTACCTCAACACAAACTCAGTATATGGTAGCAACAGCCAGTTTGTAATGATTTATTTTAATTTAGAAGTGATCATGGTGTGGAATATGCTTTTGCTAAGCCACCTCATTCACCTAGTGCTTGTGTAATAATGCACATCTCAGACGCTACTTCTGCAGCATTTCAGTTGTGTTACTACAGTGTGCTTTAAATGATCAAACTGTTCAATATCTACCCATTTGGTAGTTGCTGTATTAGGTAACTACAGGCATATAAATTACTATGTAATATTCAGTTTCCAGTAATGCAAACACTTGTAATTACTTGAATAAGTTTTATTTGAATGATGGATGCTGTTTTTATGCTTAAGGGATATTTAAATGGAAACCCAGTAGTATCTTCTCTGCTAAATCTAAGCTTAAATCTTGGCCCATGTAGAAAATGCAAAACTATATTATGTGTACCAACTTGGTTATTTTTCTACATTCAGAATGTATTTGAACTTTGTTACATTTCTGCATTGTTGAGTACTTTCTATCCTTTTATAGTCTGTTTCCTTTCCATCTCAGCTCTACTATTAGGTCTGATTTATAACAAATGTAATCTGCGTTATATACTGTCCTGGACAACAGTTTGGGCAGGTGGATAGAAGAGCAGTAAATTGTCTTAATTAGTCTTCAAAGCACTACGCTGATTTTTTTTCAAGTCTGTTTCAATAGTTGTGCCAAGAAATGCGTCTTATACAGCCACTTTGGATAAGCAATACGTTGTACTGTATATATAGCAATTACTGTCATTAGTTTGAGTTAAATGTCTGGATGATAACTAGTGCCTGTTTAATACAAATTGGAAAAGAGCATAGGTCTTCATCTTAAGGTGCTGATTCAAAAGAACTTTCCTATTTTGATTCTAGGAAATTGTGAATTCTTGTGGACAAAATGTTACTATGCTACACTGAGATTCAAACTGATTTTTGGTTTCTCTATTTAAAAAAAAAAGTCCATAAAATTCATTGGTTTTGGTTTTCAGTGTAACTGTAAATATGTGAAACTGTATTTGTCTTTGTGTTTGAAGCTAAATTTGGTGTGGTAGTAGTGAAGGATGAGAGGGAGGGAGAGGATACGCAACAAGATGCCAGTGTTCCCTGGCTGAAGCCCACTGCACATCATTGAGTGGTGTGGATTTCAGCCTGGGTAAGGTGTTTGAAATATGTGAAAATTAATGGGATCAGCATCAGCCTCACTGAATAAATGCAATAAAAGGCTAACTGACAACACTGTTATTCTGTTCCTCACTGATTACAGGGTTTTTTTGTTGTTGTAAATTTGAGCACATGCATTATGTAATTTGTAAAATGAAGTATTAGTGGAGACCTTGCTACAACACTATTGAAAATCTTCCCTTTTTGTGAGATAGGAGGTTTAGAGAATAGTGAGATTCTTTTGTGTGTTGAATCTTAGTTCTGTTCCTAATGGTGGAAGTGCTGACATGTATCTCACTGTGATCTGGTACTTCGGTATTTGCATAAACCGGCAGTCCTGTATGTTCTTTTGGCAAACTGTAAATATAAATGTTTCATATTAGCATAGCTGAATTTTTGAGGTACAGACATTTGTGTGGGATTAGAGAACTTTATTTCTAAGAACTTGTAAAAAAAAAAAAAAAAAAAAAAAAGATATTTTCAATAAAATTCCCTACCTCACCTCTATTGTGCAGAAATTATCCCATTTCCTATGTTCAGTTTTCTGACTTCATTTGTAATGCAAATATCTTTTTTGTTATTAGCAAAAATAGTATTTTCCATTAAATCAATCAAATAGTGAACTACTTTAAATTTGAAGCATAATTTATTTCCTTTGTTTCCTTCACTGTATGGTGCTCAGGTTTAGGAACACATGGTAAATAGTATTTGCACACAACAGAGGCAAATTCTAGAAGTTTTTATGGCATCTGGAGCGATGCATGTGTCTGCTCCCTAACTCTGCCTGTGTGAATTTAATTGTAAAGGGATTGGCCATGGTTGATACCGCTTTGGTTTTTTGGTACCTTCATGGCTGGGGGGAGGAAAGTGAAAGGGGAGGAGGGGAGTGACAGGAACCTTCTCTTTGTAAAACCATGGGTGGAAAGGTTCCTAGTCCCCTTTGTGTAAAGGGGATTTGAAGAAACAATGTGTTTGCTTTCTTTAATCGCAGTTGTAAATACACATTCTGAGATCTAAAAATAGAAAACAAAATCTAAAAGATTTCCAAGTTACTCTAAGATGAGCTAGCCAATTAATCCATCCTTTCTCTGAAATATTTAACTCCTTACGCTTTGGGGGGCTGGAGGGGAGAGCGAGAAGTTCTCCCTCATGTTGCTGCAGGGAATGACATTCCTGGAGAAGGAATAGCCTGCAGACCTGGATAGAGTGAAATTAAATCAATAATCTTTACTCTTAAAAGTCGGAGGTACTTGGTTTTTGTTCCTTTATGTTCCCCCAATCAGACTGAACCAATTTTCTTGCCATAGTTCAGAGGCTGTTTTGGCAATACCTGTAAACCTCACTTTCTGAAGCTGCCTCATGGCTTGGGTCCCTTTGGGAAATAGGGGAGAAAAGATTGGTCTGCTCTGGGGGTTGGAATCATTTCCTCAGGAGAGATTTTGATCTTTTTAGTTTGAATGCAAGAACTGGACTTGAGATAGGGTTGTAGCAAATAGCACCAGTTCCTGCTGAACTTTGTGAGAAAGGCGTGCAAGGTGATTGTAGTTTTGAGCCCAAATCTTAAAGATTGTGGGTTTTCTGGGCTTGATGTCTGTGTCCTTCAGAAAAAGATCAGTGCATGTATTTTGAGAGGAATATTTTAATGTCATTGGTGTCTGTAGTTTCAAGACCAGTGCAGAATAGTTGGGTTGGCAAGTCTTAAGAAAGCTAACTTTTTCCTGAGAGACAGCTCAGAGCTTTAAATGTTATTAATAGAATAAATATTAGGTATCCTCTAAAAAGGTAAAGGGACGTGCTTTCACACGCTCGAATTTTAACTCCAAACGTTGAGGAATCTTGGTGTTACAGTGTAGCTGTACCTGCTCCCTGGTAGCTTGCATGCTTTTATAATGCATTCTTCACTGCTCTTTTGCTTCTGGCCCACAGTTTTAGGAATACTGTGCTATGTATAAAAGAAAAAACTGAAGGCTTGCCCTCCTTAAATACAATAAATCATAAGGCAAGTGTCCCTTTTCTGAGTCAGTCATCATATATTTAAAAAAAAAAAAAAATTAAGGTTTTTTCAACAGTTTATCTGAACTATTTGGATTCTGATGTGAAAAATCTGTCATCTCCCTATGTCAGAAATATGCAGTTGTCAGACTTGCCTGTAGAATGTTCTACTATGCCAGACCCAGCTGAGCTGCTTGAGATGCCCCAAATCAACATGACTGTTTAGCTGTGCTGAACAAGTGGCTGGTATGCAGTTGTGTATCCTTGGGTCTCAAACATGCTTAAGCTTAAGGAATTTTTGTTGCAAGCACTGGCATTGGACAACGATCTCTCTCTCTAAATCCAGTTAAGCAAAAGCAAAAATTCACTTTCATATTCTGGTGAAATTCTCAGGTTCAGGTTTAAAAACTTTAATGCTTATTAAAAAAATGGAAATTAACTTTAATTAGCTGAACTAAACATTACATTCCAACTCTAAACAACAATTACTAACGTGAATATTAGGGAGCTCAGACTTTAGCAGAGGATGTTAGTTTTGCATATAGGATGTGTGTAAGGAGGAAGGTTCATAGCTCTGAACATTTATAATTAATTGCATGTCTTAAAGCATTCCCACTTTTTCCCTGTTCCCAGTATCATTTCATGTTAAACAAAAACTCATGTTTACGTTGCAGCCTTTTTGGAGACATTACCTTAATCTTAGAAGAATTTATATACTTTATGGACATAATTATGTACATCCTACCTGAGTTCATGTGCCAGGGCTTCTACCTTTATTCAGCAAGGTACTTCAATGTGAAGATGCTCAAGTTACCATGGATTTTGACAGGAGGACCAGCCGGTATTCCTCAAAATGGGACTGATAACTGTTTAAACTTGGAAGATTTCTGTAATGCTAAGATTTCTCTTTATACTGGCATGATGTTCTGTTACTGTAATGTGACATCATACCTACAGAAACTATTAATAAAGAATTTTGCTAGAAGTACTGATTTCTCTTCATTTTTATGAAATTTAGACCAAATAGCTCTCTGAAGCCAGGCTACTGGAATAATATAAGATTTAAAAGCTATTTAAGTAATTGAAGAGCTTGACGCTCTGTAGAAAGTTGATGTTCTACAAACCAACTTTTTGTTGCTTTCCTTCTTCCCATTTTGTGAAACGCCCATTTTTGATATCACTGCTGGTGCAGAAATCAGGGCCTTTAACTTCTGAGGGCTCAGCCCCTAAAAGTTCCAGGGCTGAATTTTACTGCATTTCTTCTTAGAACCCAGCCACTCACATCATAAAGTTCACCACATTTTGTGTCTTATTCCCCCAAAGTCTTTACTGAGAAAGAAGCCCCACCAGGAAGAGGACAGTCTGAATGCTGATACCTGCATCATCTTCTATTGATGTATCAGAATATTTTTCAAATTTATTCTCATTGCATTCAGTTAATAGTAGGTAGTAGCCAGTTAGTGTAACTACCCGTAAAAAGGTGCAGACTAAGACTATGTCATCTACATGGTGCTCACTCAAGTGTTTCTCAAAATAGTTCAAGTCTCAGGTAAAGGATGTTCAAAATTAGTAGTAGTTTCTTGAGTGATTCAAATGGTACCTTACAGCTTTTGCAAACAAGAGAAAGGCAATGCTTCTATGCTTCTGCTGCTCTGTATCAGCAAACAGAAGCTTGAGAACTACAGCATGTCATTTGGATTGAAGAGGGCAGCTAAGAGAATCCTATCAATGTGTATCCATTCCTGATGAGGGGCAATCAAGAAGATAGAGCCAGACTCCACTGTGTTATCCAGTGGTGGGACAAGAAAAAGTGGGCACAACTTGAAATACAAGACAGCCTGCTGAAATATTTTCAGTATGAGGAGATTTGAACACTGGAACGTGTTGCCTAGAGGAGCTGTAGAGTCTCCATATTTGGTGATACTCAAAAGCCAAAGTAACTGAGCAATCTGTGTCTGCAGCCCTGCCCTAAGCAGTGCAGTTGGAATATACCATCTCCAGCTGTCCCTTCCAACCTCAATCCATCTGTAACACAAAACTGTCCATAAAATCCCATGCATTGTTAAAAAAGAAGATGGTCTCAAATCTCAGATGCATAATTCTAGAGAGACTAGGAAATTGCCTTGATGTTAGCTTAATAAAAGTACATCTGTGTGCAGCTGGGTATCTCTTGTCATTATCACCACAGTATCCTGAGGTTGATAAACCTCCACAGAAAAGGATAAGAAGGACTGGTATGTGTGTACTGCACAGTTTTTTCCATTCACCAGCTACAGTTAAAAGGCCCATCTAGCTGAACAACTTCAGTACGTTTTATGCCAACATAATTGTGTGGTTTGGAGTTTCAACAAGATCTTCACAGACACATTTAAAGACTATGAGTTTGAGAAGAGCTTTCACAAAGCTTTTTGCATCTGTAAAGCTTTCTGCTGATACCATTCATGTTCCATAGGTTTTTACAGAAAATCAGAACTCCCAACTTACCTTACTTGTCATGTGCTCACGGTAGCAGGTTTTTTTCCCCTCTAGAATCTCCTCAGAAACAACAAAATGTGTGCCCTTGTGTTCATAGTGAATGAATGCCCATTCCATTGAGTACAGATGTGACAACAAAATGTTAAGCACTGTCTAAAAATAGACTCACTGTCTACACAACCAATCTGCAGTATGTTCTGCTGTTACTTCTAACTCCAGTTTGTTCTGATCTTTTTCACAAGCAGAAATACTTTTCGTAATAGAAAATGTATTACTCACTTGACAGGAGGTCTGAACGATTCACCGTCTTCCTTTCAAAAAGGGATGGTCCAACAGCTGCAGAGCAGAAGGGCGTTCATGTTGATCTCTGCATTGAGGATTTGAAAAATCAGTACATCAAATGGATGTGCATGCATGGAATGTAACTATTTGTAAAAGCTAAATGCATACTAAGGCATTTATTTTCTTCTTATTTCTCCAGAGATTAGTCGTTTTTGGGTTGTTTTTCAAAATTTGTTCTTTGTTTTTTTGTTTTTGTGTTTGTTTTTTTTTTTTAATAAGACTGACAGAAAGGATGGCAGAATTTGTGGAAAGATGCAGTTGGCATTTATGACTTATAAATGTGGAATAAAAAATCATTCTTCCACTAAAATCTTTCCAAAACAGAGTAATCCTGTAAATTTGGCTGTTTCAGGTGCAGAAAAAATTTAAGGAACATGACAATGATTTGCCTGAACTTGTGTCTGTCAGTCTATTCTGTCATCTCCAATCAATGTAATTCACATTAACGAGGCCATTTGGAATTACAGCATTTCTAGAACTAAGAACTAACCTTTTCAGCCCTCAGTTTGGACTTATTTCAAAAGCAAAACAGGCAAAAGGATAAAGGATGCTGATTTCCTTAATAATAAACTAATGGGAAAGAAAGAATGAAGGAGTCACTTACATCTGTGGCACAATGAGATGATATAGTAAACTTTTGCCACTATCGACACACATGAGGTTTTTGTTCATTCTTGCTGCTGGTGGTTGTTGACTTTCAGTTTTTATTTTGTTTGTTTATAAGGTCAATACTGTATTAAAAACTCTACCTGTGTATTTCCTTCTACCTTAACAATTCCTACCACCTTCTAAATACTGTTCTCTCTGAGACAAAGTGTATATGATGTTGCTGACAACAGTTTTTCTGGTTACTGTTACATGGTTCACATTTAACCATAACAATTCTAATCCAAAGATTAGAATTCAAGCTTCCTGCCTCTGAGGCCACTACCATGCCCACTAAATAACATGCTTCTCCCTAGTGACAAAGTCTGATCTTCAGATATATGTAAAAAGCTGCAATTAATTTGCTATTCATTTCATAAAGATTTTCAGTTAAAAAGTTACATACCTGGTTAAGCATGCGTGCACAAAGTCCACTGCAGTTCCAGAGAATCGATCAGGTAGGGAAGGCATCAGTCCTCTGTGAGCCCCAATATAGAACATGGCTGCTACCCTGTCCATGGAAGCCAGGGGTGGTTTTCCTGTTGCCATCTCAAACACTGTGCAGCCGACGCTCCAGATGTCTGATTTCCTCCCATATCCAGATTCAGTGATAACTTCTGGTGCCATCCAATATGGAGTCCCATGCACAGACTTGAGCATCTCGCTGTGTGTGCCGCTGAGGCTGACCCAAGCTAAGCGCCGGGCACAGCCAAAGTCAATTAGCTTCACTATTCCGTTTGGCATGAGCATGACATTATTGCCCTTGATATCTCTATGAACGACACAATTGTCATGTAAATATGCAACCCCCTCTAGAATTTGTTTTGTGTATTTACAAAGGACAATTTCTGGCAACGGACCAAAACGATTAAGAATACTGGAAATTGAGCCACCAGGAACAAACTCCATGAAAATACTTAAAATGTTGTCTTCCAGACAAGTTCCTAAGTAAGTTACAATATTGACATGCTTCAATGTCTTCAGAAGATCAACTTCCTCATGCAGCTTCTGGTACTCCTTTTCTGTAGTCAGTCGATCCGACGTATCCAAAAGAACCTGCTTTACAGCTATTAATTGTCCCTGGTTTGTCAGTCCGCAGTACACCTACAACAAAACTAGCATTTATTAAAATGAAACATGAAATTAAAGTGTACGATTACTTATTTTACATTACTTCCTTTTTTTTCTGTCACCTGTCGTGTCTCACTGTATAATGCAAAATATTTAAGTTATTTATTGAATAAGAAAGTAGTCATTTAGAAGGTAAGACATAATTCTGAGATAACCGGTGCATCCCCTAGCGTACTGAGACTGCAACTTACTGTGCCATAGGCTCCCTTTCCAAGGACTTCACCTCTTGTCCACATGATAGTGTCTTTGTTATTTACATTGCTTCCTGGTACGTGAGTAGATTCCTCAAAGTTCAGCAGTCCACTTTCTTCACTTGATGCCAGAAAGGATTTTCTGTAACTCTGCTTGGAACATGATGGTTAGTGTGAGGAAAAGGAAAGGAGGAAAAAGACCCCATATTATTGTTATTTTTTACAGACAGTAACTCTCACCTGGCATTAATCTTTTCTACAGAATTACATTTATATATAATCCTTGCCTGGCACATCGATACAATGGCTACGCTACCTAAGACTACATAAATATTTTCAAATATATATCACAATAGTAAACAATCTGAAGATTACAGCACCCCATCTTTTTTGTCATTGAAAGCAAGCCAGGAAGAAGGAACACCTACAAGAACAGAACATATATTGGCTTACTATTTTATTTTATTTTTTGGTCATATAGCTAAAGTTTGCTAAGGGGGAATACAACAATTAATTTGCCCCAGTAACATATATAATCCAAGCCTCATGAAAACAATTTGGAGGGGAATTCACAAGAAGAAAAAACTGCTTTAAAAAAAAAAAAAAAAACACACTAATAATTACTGCACCCATCCACAGATCCCTAGAAGTATGAATGGAGGTATATCTGGCATTTGTGTTTGCAGAAGCATAAGGAAGTGTATCGAAACACAGTGAATTAATCTTCCTTGTAGATTTGTAGTTTAAATGGAGGAAAATCTAAGACGGTAAAGGAGAAGCAGTACTGGCAGGTATCATTAGTAGGTAAGGTTTCATCACAGAGCAAGGGCCAGAATCCAACTAAGCCTTCTGAGCTTGAACTTTAATTAAACATTACTTAAACAAACGTGATAAGCCAAAACTTGTAGTTAAATCAATTAAAGTAGCCTCTCCCTTTTTTTTTTCACTATAATTTCTCAGCATCTAAGTGTTTCTGGCTATGTCAGTCATGCCTAAGCACCATCTGGCCCATATCAGACAGACAGCATCCAATATCAGTATCCTCATCTGAACACTGGAAGTCCCAGTGGGCAGCTGGCCCAAGGAGAAGAGACTTGGTCATTAATGAGCACATATTACCAGTACTTTAGTTAAGCACTGATTATTGAGCTAACATGAAGACTCATCTTTCATCCAACACTTTGCTGAAGCATCACTTAAAAGAGCAAGCAAGTTAGCAAGCAAGTTACAAAAATTTAATTTTACCTTCTCTAGATCATTATCTACTATTTCTCCATCTCTGTTCATTATTTTTCCTTCTTCTTTAGTATAGGTATTCTGCGTTTTAGAACCTGCATATTTTGTTCTTGAAGAACTGATGTCTTTGTCTTCAAGCATTAGCAATTCTGCAGCCAGACAACAAAGCAACTCATCGGTTACATCCTTATTACCTGCCCAAGACAAAATGTTTCGACTTGTCTGGAAACTGGGGCTTGTAACATTTGTTGTCTGAATCATTGAAGGCTGAATGAGTTCATTTGCCAAAATACTGTTCTGAGGTGTGAATGACCAACTGTGACTTAATTTGTTTGTAAGGAATTGACACTCCTGTCTATCTGAAAAGGGCAATGCTTCTCCTTGATTTAGAATCTTGAAGGAGGCCCGGTCTGATTCCAGGCTTTTGCAGCCATTCATATCCACTCTGTACTGGGGTACACAAATGTTCTGGTCTGCTGTTATTAAATTGTTACTTAGAGCAGCACATTCTGTGTAGACTTTATCGTTGGGCTGAAGAAGACCCTGGCTACAGGAAGCAGCTATCTGATGGTTGGGTAGAGCCTGACTGTCTATAGACTGCTCCAAAGAGGCTTCTTTAATAGTTGATAACTTTGAATCTGAAAGAATTTCGTTTGGCTTGATTGATTCTGGAAGCTCTTCTAAAAATATAAGCTGATGATCTGTGTCTCCATGAAACAATGTCACGCTACTTGAAGTTTGTATTTGACAATCCGGACCGGAAGATACTACATTATCTTGCTCAGCGTTGCTACCACTCAATTCAATACTGTTGTTGTTTGCAGGTAAGCCTTTCTGCTTTTGTTTAGTGACAGATATGGTCTTCTTTGGCTTAGAATGTGTTCTCTTTTGAGTATTTCTTATTCGGCTGCTGTCTCTTCTTTTACTGCAGGTAGAACTGCAGGTGCTAGCAGTGCATCCCCCAGGTGGAGCAGAACAAACATCTCTGTAAAAACTGTTCTCAAGATGATCAAGCTGGCGCACATGGGAATAGACAGGAGTTCCAAACATTTCATAAACATCTGGGCCTTTGTCATTGGAATTTATTTTCTTGAACATATCACTGTATTTCAGTTGTACAAACTCTGAAGCAGATTGTGCATATTGTACAGAAAGCGGAGTAACAGGTTTCTTTGAGATAACTAGATTTTTGCAACTGCAGGAAGAACTTTGCTTTTTAACTTTCTGAAAACTCTGAAGAAAATTACATTTGTTGGCTTGAGGTATTTTTTTTTGACACTTCAGGAAAGTCTCAGAACCCACACATGGCAGTTGCAAAGATGGAAAAATCTGCCTCTTGGCATTCCTCTTTTGTGTATTATGTTTTATGGAAATCTCCTCAGAAATAACTAAGCCTTCAGGTGTCCTTGTCTTGCTACTCATTTTAGATTTCGATGAACATTTGTTTCTATTCAACTTTATCTCACTTTTGTCACTGTCTTTGCGAGCAAGAACATTGAAGCTCTGACTGACATGAGGAGGCAGGCTACGAACAGTGCTCCTTTTTTTGTCAGGATGTTTAGCAATGCGTGGTTTCGTAGGTAGTTCTTGTTCAGAGAAAGTAACATGGACAACAGGAACGAGCTCACTTTGACCTTTTGCAGTCACTTCTGACATTGCTTCATTTTCCATTTCAAACTTGAGAAGACACATATTTTCTGTTTGTTTTCCAGAACAATCTTGCACTTCTCCAGGAATTACAGCAGCTACAGAATTATATTCTAGGACATGGCAGGACTCAATCACTTCATTTTTACACGAAGAATCTAAATTACAATCACCAAGCATGACGGGTTCACTCTCAGCATCTTCACATGGTCTACAGTGCAGTATTATGTCTGTAACGTTTTCTTCTATACCAGTTTTATAGGAATTCTCCTCTCTTTCTTCCTTCTCACCAGCTCTTAAAATATCAGTGTTTTTTGACACAGGAAACAGAGCTGTGGATATTCCACAGTTTTTCACAGCATTATTTGAGTTCAGGTAAAAAAGACAAGTGTCACAAAAATTGTCTTGGATCATAATATCTACATTCTCATAAGCCACTGAAAACTGGGACTTCTGGTCATTCTTTTCAGTATCGGCAGCTGCCTCATCTTCTGTCCATTTCAAATTGTTTTCAATTTCTTCTTTCTTATTGTTAGGGTACTCATAATATTTATTCTTGCTGAAGCAGTACAGGCCTTCTGTTGGAGTGAACTTCTCAGAAATTGTAGCCACAATCACACCTGAAGACTTTTCAGCTTGTCTTATTACTATATTGCCTAACTGATACTGATAAAATTTAGTAGCTGATTTTATAGGCTGAGAAATAGACTTCATAATATTCAAAATATTTCTGATCTTGGTGTGCTTATTGACAAAAACATCATTTAGAGGAGCAAGATGAATGGTTCTTACAGGCTGAAATGTCACTGGTGGCAAATGGAACTGCAATTTCCATTAAAACAAAAAAGAAATTAATGATGTACTATACAGCAGACAAAGGTAAAATCTAATCATTAAGAACCAAACAGGTGAAGGAAAAAACATCAGAGCAGGATATATTGATGGATATGTATTAATGTGACATATTCCTACATTTAACCTAATATAAAATGTAATATCAATACACTTAGAAAATACATTATTTTTCTCAGATTTACTGATTTTACTCATTTTGTTGTGGTATAGAAAGTGGGATTCCTTGCTACAAGGCACAAGTCACTTTCCATAATCTAAATACAGTAAGCCTTGGCCACACGTACAAATAATATCATCAGTTCTTAACTATGCCTTATGCTATCTAGCGTGCTTGATACACAAATTCAAAGGCTGGTCAGCAGTTTATCGTGCCAAACTTTTCTTCTCGCTGTGCACACAACCCTCTAAAATGTACTACAAGAGAAATTATATTCCCAATGGAACCAGATCTCATGAAAGCAATTTTTAAAAAGCAAAACTGTAATATTATAACTGTTTGCTATTTCATCCATGGGGGAAAAAAAAAACCCAACATTTTTATAAATTATTCATTAGTTTTAAAAGTCATTACTGTAATTCTTCACATGTAGGTCTTCCATGTGTTCAGTGTAGACTTGAGAAGCTCATAAACCACGTCAGATGGAATACAGATTCAGCTCAATAGCATTTTGTTAGAAAATACCACAGTCCACGCTACGTTTGTCAGTGAAGTCATACAGATGACTACAAAAAAGCCACTTAGTAACATAACAGCTAATGCAACAGCCTGTTGTGCTTAGGATGTATTTTATTTTCCCTCCCCTCTTTCTTCTCTGCCCCTTCCATTACTTGAAAGTTACTGCACATCTTTGAAAGAGAACAAATTTGAGAATTTAAATACTTTATTGTGATTACTCATATGAACAGTGTGAATAATTTTCTGAAAATATTTCTATTTTTTGCTACATAGGAAATGGGGACAAAATAAGCTCTAATAAGCCGTATGCTTTTATGCATATGAATGCAAGGGAAATAATTACACAGTCATATGCTCTGAGTACCCATCTGCATGTCTATATTCAACATCAGTTAGCAATCTGCAAGAAATTTTTGTTGCATTCCACGGACAAGCAGAGGTTTGAATGTGCCAGGGAAAGCAACAAGCAATGTTTTGAAATTTACAGTTCAGGAGGCTTTGTCTGGTATGCATGGTTTTAGTTTGAATGCTCTGTAATCCCAAATGATAAGCTCTAGAAATCATCAGAGCCTAAGATGTGACATAAAGCTGTATTAAATTACATTTGACATCAACTAACTTACTTTTCTTCAACATCTCCTTCAGTTGGCAATGCTTTTCTTTTCCATAGCTCTTTTTATGAACTTTTGCCAGAACTTGCTGTGAATGCTTTTGTATTCTGCAGTAGGTACACTAAAGTACACAGCAGATTTAACAAGTCTCTAGTTGAAAGGACAATTAATTAATATCTATAAAGACCAAATCCTCTTTTTAAGAAATACAGTGAATTTGATCTGCTGTGGCTGTTAAAGCTCAGTTGCTGTGACTCGCTGACTCGTGAAATGACAAGCATGACTGCAAGTACAGGAGTTGCCACACATTTTTTTGTCAATAATCCTGTTTACACTTCTCAAAAATTTTCATGTTAAATAGTATTTTAATCAACCATATAAAGTCAGGTTGGTTCTTCAGTTTGGCTTCAATTTTATACAACCCATCAACACAGTAAAATTGCACTGCTTTGTTTTTAAATTGATCAAAACTAAGTATCCAAGGCGTGTAACATACAGAATACGCACACCTAAAATTAAGTTATGTATTTCCATTTTAAGATGTTCTATATCTTTTTAAACTTCCAACATTTAGCCCTCAATAATCCCTGCTGTAATATAATAAACTAATATAATTTCAAACATTTGCTGATATTTATCATCACATCTATACAAATGCTTGACGATCATCTGAAAAGAACAAGCAGAGAAAACTACCCAGACTTCTTTTGTATCATTACTTTTAAAGTTTTAGTTTTATACATAATATAATCTTACCTCAGACCTCTTGATCCTTTTTTCTAGTATTGCTATATTAAAACCTTAAAAATCAAAACACATTAGTGTTAGTGAGAAGTAAAACAAACTACAATTTTCAGTACACAAATATTTCAAACTGTAGGGTTCTGAGGACCAGACATTTGTCTAATTTTGGTTGCAGAACTATGCTATAAATCTGCTATAACAAAAAAAGTGGAAAGTTACAATTGCACTTTCTATAAAACACAGTGAAATATAGTAATACAAAATATTTTATTCTAATAATTTAAACAATTATTTCTTTTAAATTTTAGATGTTTGCTGACTTCAACAAGTAGCTAATTAATTCAATTATGAATTAATTAGTTCCAGGAGGAGGAAAAGAAGTAAAAGAGACGTCATCCCAGCCCTGCCTAGAATTCCACTGTACATTATGAGGGGTCTATTTTATTATACAGAGTAATCAGAATTGCAACATCTTTTTTTATGTTGCTTTTCTTTATCTCCTTCATTCCCTAAATACACACACACATAATTAAAGAAGACAGGCAACATGGCTGAAGCCCACTTCATATGAAAAATTCATATGAAAAATGTTTAACTTTATTGAAGTATTCTGACTTTTAAGCTTGAACTTACTTTGTTGCATATCCTTAAAGCATTTTGGAATGTTGGATTCTGGGCATGAGGCCTGTAGCAGAAAGCTGAAGTCAAAGCCATGCCTTATGATCTCTTTCTTCACCAGGAAAGGTAGAGAGGTGTGCTGTCCCATCTGTAATGTTAACTGCTTTTTACTTTGACAATGTGCCACTTGTTTATCTGGCCACAGTCTGGTTGTTGGTGTTTTTTGGCTAAAAGACAAAAACAAAAACCAAAATACAGTGTGAAAATAAGTGGAAGGCTCCTACTCAGTTCAAATAATCACTCAACTTGGGACTAACAGGAACAAGAAACTCATAAGATGCAAGAATCCCAAAGTGTTTTCTCTTCCTTGATCCATCTAGGAAGCCGTGGCTCTCCCCAGCAGCATCTAACTGCTATGGCAGCAACTGATCACAAATACCAATGAATAACAAACAACACAGACAAAGAACCAGTATGAATAGGAAAACATATTGCCCATCTCCCCTTATTGATAAGAACTGATTGCTTCCAGCATGTATTTTTTATGAAAATACATCATCAGGAAAGTATGTCAAAAGAATTCTGAAGACCAGGTGGTGTGCCTTTGTCATTTATAAAATATGCTATGGCCTGCCTGCAAGAATAGAGGCTGTATGGATAAGACTCAGATTTCTGCCATCTGGTTTCTGAAGAATGGAAAATTCAAGCATGGGGAGGAAAAAAAAGAAAGAACTTTGATTGAAAAGAGGTCGAAAATACAGCCTATCTTAAAAGCTGCATGCGAGACAATTGCGTTTTTACTTAGGTCAAACACTGATGTAAAACCATAACCAGGAGTAGTTTCTCCTGTTGTACCAACCCACTTGTTCATGTAGCGCAATATCCTGCCTCTATCTGATCCTGCAAGGATCAGCATTGACACTGGGAAGAAAGAAATGCTATACAACTCATAGCTGTATCTAACAGCTGGCACAAAGCAAATCTTTTCAGGCTCAGACTAATTCCTGCTTTGTCTTCACTTTTGGATACCTAACCACAAATTAAATATTAGTTCTACTTACCTACTTTTTCCTAGAGCTTTGTATGAATCACAGATTTCTTTCACTATCTCATCTGCATTTGGAAGAGCAACAACAGCTCCACGACCTGCATCAGTACATCAGTGTATTAGTACTATATTGCTGCATTGCAGAAAACACTAGTATACTGCATATCATTCACTCTCCAAAGCAAATATACTTAATTTTGGCCATTAAAATATTATTGAGATGTATCAGGGGAAAAAAAAAAGAGCAAATTTGATTTGAATCAAATATTTCCATATACTTTTTGTGGTAAATTTTAGACATTTGAATGCTTAAGCCTAAAATAACTTCAGTTATTTTGGTAAGTATAATAATTCAATCCACTTTTAAAAGCAAAGGACATCTTTAAAAAATCCGGTTACATCTTCTATTTCAGTGAAACAGAAATAGAAGAAAAAAATGTGGACAAACTCATTTAGAAAAAGTATTAAAAGCAAAACAAATCTCAGGGCTTTTCAAAGGCAGAAATAACTTTAAGTTTGATTAAAATTTTTTTGTGGATGTTTGATTTTAACAAATGACAAGATCTCAAGCTAACATGGTCCTTTTTCTTCTCCAGATACATATATTCCATTTCAGAGATTTCATTTCATGCGTTAGATACCTTCTGTGCTTCTCCTCTTAATTTTCTGCTTTTCAGACATACTGTCCTTAGATGTTTTAAGGTCCTGAAACCTGAGAACATGTATCATTAATTGATTTCCAATCCATCCAAACTAGTAGATCATACTTCACTACTTTGGGATCCTATACAAGATAATAGCAGAATTTTACAAGTACTTGAAATTATGAAAAATTTGTAATTTAACTTAATGTCCAATGCCCCATCCTGCAAATATACAAAACAAAGCAGTCCAAACACAATTATTATTGCCAAAAATTCAGCATATGCTATGAAGAAATGAAAACTCTCAGTATTGTTTGCTGATATCACCCATATACAGCAGACCAGAAAGTCAATGGGTAACATTTAGAAGAAAATCTTATTTTGAACATATCTTTTATTGCTTATCCTTATTTGATCAAAACTCTCCCTTAGCAAAAGAGATCAATAACAAAAAACTTTCTGAGCATAGAACAGCTCATACACTGCAATCTCAACAAAGTCTCAGTGATGACTGTTTCTGTAATCACGACGCAGCTCCCACCAACCCTCTATCCTAAGAAACTCAAAAGATTCTTAAAATTAATCTCAATTTTTTTTTTTTCTGGATTTGGGCTCCTTCTGAAAAACTTGGGCTTCTGTTTCTCAAATGACAAGAATACATGACGTAATGAATCAGTGAATTGAAATATCAGCTAGTATTTATATTACATTTCCCACTGTCCTTATTATTTAGCAAACAACTCAGTTTAAAAAATAGAGATGAAAATGTCAGATATGCGTACAAATACACAGAAATAAACATACTTTTAAAGATATATAAAAGATAGACTTGAATTCATTAGAGTTACACAGAGCTACTGAATGCTAGAGAGGAAGATTATAAAGTCCATAATGGAAAATTCAGTAATAATGTGCCTAATATGAATAATGTGTGCATGGACTTTTCTCCATCTAAAGGTAAATAACATTTTCAACATTCATTACACATTTTATTACAAGTTATCCCCAACAGGAACTACCGCTGGCAATGGTTTGGGGTTGGGATTGTTTGCTTATTCGTTTAGCTCATAAATACCCATTTTTAGTCATTTCATAAATGCCTTTTATCCTTTGCACTTGAGCTCAGGGCTCTCAGTAGAACTACTAACGGGAAAGCAGCCCAGTGTTGCAGCGCTGCCAATGGTAAGATGAATGCAACAGATGGCAGGTAGCAACTCTGTCCTTCAGAGTCCTTCAGGATCTTGTCCTTTAGCAATGGTTCTATTTCAAAGTCACAACAGAGGTCAGTGGAAACGAATGGCACATGTAGCTCCTGCTGGATTCAGCATTTTGCCATTTACCGTTAGTCAAAAAAATGAATGTGACTTTTGTTTCTCATTCAGCATAAGGTACACAACATGCCTTCAGCATGCATCAGCCTTCTCAAGAGACTCATCCACTTATCTTAGATTAAATTAATTACAACAATTCTGCATGACACTTGTGTGTGTGAGAGAGAGAGGAATAGTGCTAATACCACACAGTGCTGCACCCTGTATCGGGCAGTACTGTCACTGGAGGCTTACAAAGGAGGAAGCAGAAGGACAACCAATATTCTGCAGAACAGCAGCTGCAGAAGCAAGCACTTTTGACTCCTCCTTATGCTGAACACCAGATACCCATTAGAAGGGTCACTATATGAGCCTGTTAAGAGTTATATGTTGAACTTTGCCAAACTTCCTCTTTTTTGAATGTTAAAAAATAATAACAATTAAAAAAAATTCAAAATAACAGCTGAAAAAGCTCTATAAAACAGACCGAGGCCAGCCCTTACCGTGTGTTTCCACAGCGAAGCACGGCAGAGGCAAGGATTCCGCACGCAGCGCGCGGGCGGCGGGGCTGCGGGCTCAGTCCCTATTCGTGTCCCTATCTCTATCCCTGTCCCTACTCGTGTCCCTGTCTTTATCCCCGTCCCTATTCCTGTCCCTGTCCCTATCCCTATTCCTGTCTCGGCGGCTCGGCCGGCCCGCCGCGCTTCGTTTACACCGCGTTGCCACGGCAGCGGGCGGCGGAGCGGCACCACAGCCCTCTCCCTTCTCTCGATGCTTTCAGCGCTTCGTTTACCTCTACGTCATTTTCCTCGCTATCACCACTAAATTCTCACTAATTATTCTCTGTCTAGCTGCAGGTAGCCTTATGCAGCAGGCCTTGAGGATTACGTTATTTATTTGTATATCTGTGATGGAGAAATAGCAGTTTGTACCGCAGGGAGGCGGAGAAGGGGTAACGGTCACGGACTGAGAGTTTCGGAGGAAACTCCTGTGAGGGCTGGCAGACGCTCTGCTGTGTGAGGGACACCGAGCCCCGTGGGGACACCCCGTCCCAGCAAGTCAGGAATTTATCCTGAAAAGAGGCCCCTCAGAGCGGGGAGAGTCTGACCTCATTCCTCCGTGAGGCGCCGTGCGGGGACGAGGCACCGTGTGAGGCAGCCGCCCCTTCCCGCCAGCCCTTGCGCGTGGGGCGGGCACAGCGCAAGATGGCGGCGGACAGCGAAGTGAGTGTTTGCTCATTCCTCCCGTCCCGTCGTGTTCACCCCGGTGCTCCCGGCCCGTGGCCGCCTCTCCGCTCACTGCTTCTCCCGCTCTCTCCCCACAGCCCGACTCGGAGGTGTTCGAGATCACGGACTTCACCACCGCCTCCGAGTGGGAGAGGTACGCGCTGCCGTTGGGCTGGGGCCGGCCCTGCTCCTCGCAGCTCCGGCGCCTCCTTACCTTCATTCCCCGGCCGGATTTCGGACTGCGTCGGGCGCGATTCGAGTTCCCAGCAACTCGGTGGCCTTGTTTTTGTTGTCAGCTGAACTGAAGCAGGCAGTCACGGAAGGTGCTGTTGTGCAGTGCTCAGATGAAGCGATTCCTGGGCGGTGCGGTTGCAGTAGGGCTGACAGTGCTCGGTTGCAGTGTATAAGAGGATCTAGGCCGGCTGTTTGTGAACCAGGTGGAAGATCAGGTTTAGCTGAGGATTACAGCGAACATCCATAAAGCCCATGTGTTGTAATGTAGCAGTTGAGTACTTGCCTTGTGGTTGAAGCCCTTCAAAGTTAGCAGAGCAGCATACGGAACAACATCAGGTGAAGGTTGCTCTGCATTCTTATGTATTATTCTTTAAAATTCTTTTTCCAGTGAGAATATCTGCAATAGAAAAAGACTTTAAGGTCTGTGTTTAAATTGAATTTAGATTACAGTTATGTGTCTAATGTAGTTTTTTTGTGGGTTTTTTTTTTTTTTTCCTGTAAATAGTGAAGCAGTGCTCTGTTTTGTTGCAGTACCAGACAAATGTATAACATCAGTCTCAGTTCTTCCAAATTCCATTGTCTTAATGCATGATCTGTATATTGATCTAAATTAAAGCCTGTGTTGGCCATAACTGGGATGTATTTTAATTTTAGCTGGTTGTGCTTGAAACCCTTTTTGCAAGCCAGTAATTGGGGGTTGGGGTATCGGGGAAGGGTGAGTAGGAGAGACAGAAAGCATGTTCCCCTATGTTAGAAATTACCTTTTTGGGAAAAAATGCTGCTTGAAGTATAACTGAAGTGCTCATCAGTGAAGCAGTTGGACTTGTGGATCCCCAGAGGTCTCTTCCAACTCCTATAGTTCTGTGGTTCTGTGGAAATGGGTGAGACTTTATAAACATTCAGTGCACGTTCATAACGGTTGCTAAAAATAAGGCTTATCAGGGATGTGAAACTAAAAGCACCGCTTTATTTGTACAAGGAAGCAGACTGTTTTTGTTGCAATCCCTGGTATGTTACTATTTTTTGCATTGTTTTAAAGGAATTCTCCAGCAGGACTACTTGTCTGCTTTTGGGAGTTGAATTACAACACAAGCTGAGCAAGCAATCAGGAAATATTAATACCTTTTTCCCTCCTTACTAGATTTATTTCAAAAATAGAAGAAGTGTTGAATGACTGGAAACTTATTGGGATTTCTTCAGGCAAACCTCTGGAAAAGGTCAGTTGGTCAGTTAGAGCTTCCACAGAGTGTTAGAAACTAGCAGTACCCATGGATGTGTTTATGTGTGTTCTCATTTACTTAAATGTGGCAGCTAATGATTTGTGTTAGGAATTTCACTTGTAAAACTGGCTATTGAACAAACAAGTGCTGTGAGGTTACTGGAATTCTGCCAGATAGACAATTTCCTTGATAAATTCCTTATGGGGGCTAGTGCTATGGTTTCTTTTCATTGCCTGTTTTCCATTTGGGAACATTGTTTTAGCTGCTCTCTATTCTCAATGAGCTTGTTTATTTACTTTGCCCTCCCCGGTGCATTTGGCGTGCCTCACGTACTGTGGCTGAGGTTTGCATTGTGTTACTTGTGATTCAGTACATCTCATAGAGAGACTTTCTATTTTTTTTCTCCAGAAGTCTAATTAGCAGCTTTCTGGTGGTGCTTCAGTCCTGTAAAACGTGTGGGAAATTAAGGGATTTATGGCTATCCTGCTTCCAGAGGAGTTCTTTAACTTAATTTTAGAGTACCAAGTATTAGGGATTAAAGCTTATGATATCTAGTGAACTAGTTGTCAACCATAGCTGTCAGTATTCCTGTATTTTGTTTTCTGTACTGGACTCTTGTTGTCTAGTGAGAAGAACTTCTTACAAAGAGTTTCACATGACTTCTAGTAGCAACTGTACAATTCTTTACGTTGCCTAATAATGCTGAAGACTTTTGTCCTTGAAATGAAAGTGATTAACGTGGATTTTAGCGTTCAGCTAACCTTAAGTGCTTTGAGAATTATCTTCATAGTAGACGGTGCCTAGCTGTAAAATAAAACTGCAGGAGGAGAAAAAAATGAACAAATATTACACTAAATTTATGTGATCAAGTAATAGCTTTGTTTGTTGTTCTTCATTTTTTCAATTGCTTTTGTTTGTTATTTTCAATCTACAGGGTGTATATACCACAGGAGTGTGGGAGGAGAAATCAGATGAAATTTCGTTTGCGGACTTCAAATTCTCAGTTACACATCATTATCTTGTACAAGAACCTGGTGACAGAGATGGGAGAGAAGAAGGTGTAGAAGGTAGCTGACAGTACTCTTTCATGCCTGAAATATGTCACAGGTGTTGTAAGACAAAAGACAATTTCAGAGTGTTGATTTCATAAGCGTTGATTTGCATCTTTGTGAAATGTTGGGGGATCTGATGGGTTGGACTTGATGTTTCTGATTTTTACTATGTCTTACAGTGAACAAATTGCTAAAGAAGTAAACTGTTAGTGTAAATGATGGATGCTGATGCTCTTACGTGTCCTTTTTTTTTTTTTTTTTTTTTTTCAGATGCCCTTCCCCTGCCTATGCAGGACTTGCTCTGCATGAACAATGACTTTCCTCCTAGAGCCCACTGTCTAGTAAGATGGTATGTATGCTGCCTTTCTTCTCTAATACGGAGAAGCATAGTGATAGTTTGTTTTTCAGTCTAATTACAGTTTTTACTAACTTTAGTAAGAAACTCAGGACTGGTACGCCTGAAAATCCTCATATGACTTCAGTAGTGTTTGAGCATTGTTGAATTAGTGTAGTGGTGAGATGATCTGCAGTACTGCGTTCCCAGTCAGATCTTGGCCTCTCTGAAAGAAGCGACACACAGCAAAATAAGAGTCATGTCCTGCTGGCAGGAATTAGATTATTCAGGTTGTAATATTCCTGACAATTCTGTGTTTGAGCTGGTTTATTGGAACACACAACTATGTTGTCTTTCCCTGCTCTTTCTTTAAGGTACGGCTTACGTGAGTTTGTGGTTATTGCTCCAGCTGCAAATAATGATGCGGTTCTTAGTGAATCGAAATGTAACCTCCTACTGAGTTCTGTTTCTATTGCATTGGGCAACACTGGCTGGTAGGTGAAAGCATGAACTTTTTAAAGGTGAAACTAGCGTGCTATTTATATAGTTCTTTATTTATTTAGGAAGAAGTATTTAGTTGTTAGTGAATTACATTGTGTTTCTTGCATTTGCACCATAATACTGTTACAAAAAGACTTTGTAAGTATCTTTCCACAGTAACTATATAAATATTGATTCAGTATGTTATTTATATTCATTGTTGTATGGAAACCTCAAAGGCTTATAAAACTGTTGCATGTTGTTGGGATAACTGGCATATGGAACACAACTTCTGAAAGATTTCTTCTGTGTGGTAACTGAATTTCTAGTAATTATGAGTAGCTTTTAGTAATTGGACTGAAAGCTAACAGGTCATTGAATCTTTGCATCTGTGTTTCTCATGACAATTTTTAGGCGTTCTCTTTAACGATGAAGTTAAGAATATTTTTCTGTGATTCATATTTAGCATTTTGAATTGTGTTCTCCTAAGAGAAATAGACTGTAAAAAATACGGTGTTTAAAAGGCTATGAGCTGGCAGAGATAATCCAAAGTGGGTGTTTTACAGTCAGGTGCCGTTGTTTGTGCAAATACATCAGAAATGGCGCCGTATGTATGTTGGAGAGTGCCAAGGTCCAGGAGTTCGAACTGACTTTGAAATGGTTCATCTTCGCAAAGTCCCCAGCCAGTATACTCACTTATCGGGATTACTGGATGTCTTCAAGTCCAAGATTGTAAGTGCATCTGCACATACATACCTGATACTAAGAATTATTATTCGGTCACCTGACTGCCATTCATTTGCTTCTGTCTTCTAGCGAGTTGTTGTGTAAATATCAGACTTACTGTCAATACCAACAGTGTCTTCCCAGATATTGTTGCTCTGTATCTAGTAGTACAAAATTAACAAGAGTTGTATAAATTCTCCACTGGCATATGAAGGCCAAATCTTTCTGATTTGCAGCCTACTTGCAACAACTCCCTTTTTCAATAGAGACAAGCTCTACGTGCTGTTTAAAAGGAGAGGGGAAGGTTGAGGTGCATGTTTGTTCTGATAGTTGTAGCTCCAGCACCCAACCTCCTATAAATAGTGAAGAGCAATATGATAGTAATCTGAGGGGCCTGGGTGGGCTTCTCCGGAGTGGTATGGCTGACTGCAACACTTGGCTGACCACCAACATTAGTCAGAATCTCATCAAAACACTGAAAAAGTCCTTACTGAAGACCTGTCATATTCTGTGTTAGTTACTTGTACGTTACCAGCTAAATAGAGCTTGTAAATGTTGCACGGGTTTTAGAATGTTTATATTCTTAGTTTTAGCACAAGCGTCTTGCTAAGCAGTGGCTTTACTGGTAATTCTTGGTAATTCATAAATTTGATGGAATGTATGGTAGTTTATATTAGAATTAAATTCTGTATGAGGATATTTTAAAGGATGTGCACTTAACAGTGGATGTTTTCAAGGGATGCCCGTTAACACCACTGCCTC